ACGGCATTTGTGACTGTAATGTTTGATCTCGCAATTGGTGAAATAATATATTCTAATATTAAAGAGATAATATGTAAAAATTATATAAAAAATCGTAAATGTGTAGGAAATTGTATACTAAAGAAAAATTAAAAATAATGAATCGTTAAAAGAATATTTGCCGGGTAGTAAAAGTTATTTATTTATAGAGTAAATATTTTAAAATTTATATTACTATGTTTAAAAAAATATTTTAATTTAAATTAATAAAATTATTAATATTAATATTAATTATTAAATTTTAATAATTTTTTTTACTATTTAAATTGTATGAATACGTTTTATCAAATATTATCTCTTATTTGGGCGCCAAAGTGCTTGGACGCTTCAGATAGCACGTGATGCAAACATCGCATTATACGTATCGCACATTTTTTAAGGCATATTTGCTTATCGATTATTTTCAAGCGACATATTTTCTTTGGGGACACACGTCGATGCAATTGGAATTATGTATGGGGAAGGTCATACTTTGCGAGAAACGTGTAAATTATATAATAGCGATGTAAAAACGAGTGCGTCGTGATTGGCGCGAAGGTCATTGACACAAGGAAGTGTCCATAAGTATGCGCACGCCTTGCGAAAATTAATCATGAATCGAAAGTTGCGGCAACTATAAAGTAATAAACGTGTTCCTTGTTGCTACGTGGGTCAACCGTGCACAGAAGCAAACGATAAAATAAATGCAGTGCATAGCTGTACTCGCAGTCAGTAATTTGTTAAGCTCCAATTGTTCCGCGTTACCTGAGTGAAGTGTGGCTTAATTACAAGTAGCATTGAACATTATCTGTTGCAAATATTGTTCTATATACTTGTAAACATACAGAGTCGCAGATACACGCAAAGTGAACAATCTGAATTATTTGTCAAATAATCTGGAAATTAAACGTCAAACAATTTTTCAAAGTTTGCCGAATCTGCTTGTAATGTTTGTTTTGAAGAATATTACTGAGCAAATGTTGTCTTTATGGAAAAATATTTATTAGACTTTGAAATTAATTTTTTTAGATTTTATATTAAGCTTAGCTTCGATAGAATCAAAGTTTATTCAAAATTAGCAAAGAAAGATAGCAATACAAATGTCTTACGCAATGTTGGATTGATATCACTAAATCGAGGATAAAAATAATTCAATCGCAACAGGTAAATAATCTATTAATAACTCGGATTGTGAATTCAGCAAGAAAGTCAATTGCTTGTATATTATGTAATACATTGAGTTTGCCAGCAATGTCAAGTTAAAGACTCTATTAAAGACATTGGCACCTACTGTCACCAGACAATTAGACGTCTACTGTGAGACAATAGATACGGATTTGTATTAATTTACATTCTCTCTATCTTTCTAATGATATTATTTATTTCTATTTGCAGTGGCGGCTCTGATATATTGGCGGGATCCCAAAAAATCAGGGATCGTATTCGGCACAATATTAGGCGTGCTCCTGTCATTGGCCTATTTCAGTCTGATTAGCGTACTTGCTTATCTGTCGCTTTTGGTTCTCACCGGAACCGTACTTTTCCGTATCTACAAAACCGTTCTTCAGGCAGTCCAGAAGACTTCAGATGGTCATCCATTTAAGTAAGCATAAGAAACGAAACATTTTAAGAACATTCTGTATACAATCATGTTGAGAGATAATTTCATTGATGGTAAGTTCGAAAAATTAACAATTATAAATTTAACTTTACACAATAATTATCATATGATGTATATTTCGAAAGATTCTATTGGATATAAAAAAATAATGTTTGACAATATATAATTAAAGTTTATGCGTAAAATTTTAAATGTCGAAACAGCCGAGAAGCTAGTTTTATCTCATAATAATCTTAAGTACACTCTTCTTTAATTAAACTGTTATTTAATCGCAGAGATATCCTCGATCTGGACCTGACACTACCAACTGAAAAAGTGCACGAAGTCGCAGATGTCGCGGTCGCACATGCTAACGCTGCGGTTAGCGAATTGCGCAGGCTGTTTCTCGTCGAAGATTTTGTCGATTCTCTCAAGTTTGCCAGCTTACTGTGGTGTCTCACCTACGTCGGTTCTTGGTTTAACGGCATGACTCTCATCATAATCGGTAAGTATTTTTTCCTTGCGAGTGTAGGTGTGGATTCAATTTAACAAATTGGTTTAATTTGTTTTAGGCGTGGTCGCTCTCTTCACGCTGCCTAAGGTTTACGAAACGAACCAAGAGCAGATCGATCAGAATTTGGCCTTGGGCCGGGCAAAGATCAACGAAATTACCGCGAAGTGAGTTGAGCAAATATTTTTGAGAAATTTTACGAGAAGCGTCCAGAAAGTAAAGTAACAAGCTCCTCTTTTCGCTTCTCGTTCATTAAGCGAGAAATAATTTTGTATTGCTACATGAATCTTTGACTATCTGAATATATTTTTCAAAATTTTGTACAAATTCTACATTACTGATATAGAAGAATTTTTTGTTTTTGTGGCAGAGAAACCAATGCTTTCACACTGACTTCAGATTACAAGTCGAGAAACAAAATTGATTCTTATACGTTACGCATGACAATGGAAAACTAAATTGATTGATTCTTATGTTACGCAATGGAATTCAGTGTAAGAGGACTTTTTGTATATCTATAACAAATCAAACTCGAATTTTTTTTCAAACTGAAGGAATTTAATTTTTGTTTCGTGATAGTATAAAATGTGTACCTACAAACGCAGACAGAAATAGCTGCCACACACAAAATATTTATTATCCAACAAAGTCGAACCGAAAGAGATCAACGCGTTACTTTTCAAAATATCTTTTATAACTTCATCACAATATTGTTCATTCGTTTTAGGGTGAAAGCGGCCATCCCTCTTGGCAAGAAGGCTGAACCGATAAAGGAGGAATAAGGAAGAGTCGTGCGTGACGATAATCCAGCGGACAGTCGCGACAGCAGAAATAGAAATGATTAAGTTAGAAACGAACAAGAGAAACGTGAAAAGTGTGAGAAGAGTTTGAGAGCGCGTGCGAGCAGGACAATATACGACTGGGAGAGGTTTCGCATCATACAATATAAATGGAGTTGGGCCCAGTAGTCGCGCTGGTGACGGGATAGTTAACACGTGCGCTAATATCTTTGCGAGTTTTGCCGTTGTATCCTGGAAGAATATAACACAATGCTTTTCCAAAGTACAGCGATCGGCGAAGCCGAACAGTTGTGCGTGCGTGCATCAACATTCTGATCACGAGAGCAATCCTTATCGAGGAAGTAAACACCGCGAGAGTAGGAGAGAATGAGCGGGAGAGAGAGAACGAGAGAAAGGAAAAAAAAAAAGAGAACGAGCGAGAGAAAGAGAAAGAAAGAAAGATGAGCAACACTTAGCGATTAATTAATCGTTTATTATCGCGGTAAAAAAGTGATGGCATACTTTTAGCCAGCTGCAACAGTGCAATGTGCGCGGGGCTGCTTTCGAGGATTGGATCAGCCCTTCTCCTCTCCCTCCCCCATTTTTCGTCGTATTCTTCGACAAATGTGTTTTATCGTAAACTTCGTGTTTTTACCTACCTGATGATGTCCTTTGTTCTTCTTCGCAAAGAGAGAAAGAATGAAAGTGAGAAAGTGTGAAAGAGAATGAATGCGTGTCTCTGGATGTATGCGAGAGAATGAGCAATAAGGCTGCACGTGATTTATTATCGTAGTCCCGTCTTCGGAGCATCGTATTCAATTAGCTTGGATCATTGTTCGCGTGAACCAGATGTCACTGAAAATAATCATTTTGAACTGTGACGCGACAAAATTATATAGTGAGAAACGGAGGTGATGGAGGATCGTGATACTTTAAACATTTAACGAACGAGCAGGAAAAAAGAAACAGAGAAACGAGCGCGAGAGGTTAAACATATGAACGGTATGTCCCTCGGAGTGATAGATCTTAAAGTAATTGTCCAATTTGCAGCGATCTCTCCACCTTCTCGATGTTTTAAGTTTGTTGTTGCGTTTGGGAGAATCGAATGTGGGTTAAAATAACGCGTTAAATTATGCAGAAACATATATATTGTATCTGTCTCTCAATGACGTTGACGTTTGCATAATATTATTGCTACTGCATCATTAATTGTAATTACACCGTTATATACATACGCATGTGTATATATATATATAGATTGTATAGCACTTGTGTGCACATTTATATATTTATATGTATGGATGCACATGCGTACTTATGTGAAAGGAAAGGATCGTCATCAAATAAAGTGATCCTACGTAACCACAGGTACGGAGAGCACACTGAACGGTGAACGATGAGGATGCAACTTTATATTATATCATAATATCTATCTATAGTTATCGAGAACACGTGTTTTTATCGGGACCGATATGGCAAAATGTTAAGAATGTGAATTGTAATACGCGTATTGCTTCTTGTCGTTTTCATTATTGCATCTGCATCCGCACGATTAATTTATAAATAAATGATATTAAATAAGATAATCCTTTCCTATTCTCTTTTCTCTCTCTCTTTCTCTCTGTCTCATCCTTTATACACAAAATCCTATCTGAAATATTCCTTAAGTTTATGATTTTTGATAATTATTTGTTTATAGATCTTGTGTACTAAATACTATTTTGTTTTACACAAATTTAATATGATAAAGCTGTAAATTTATATAAAATAAATTTTTTTTGAGTCAGTTTCGAATGAAAAATTGCTTTTTTTTTTAGACAAAAATTATGCTGCAGAAAGCCTACATTCTTCAATAATGCAACTTTTGTTCAAAAGTGATAGAATAATTTTCATCGATAATTTTTGTTAAAGAAATGATAGATTTTTATTGCAATTTGATCTGAAAAGAATTATATTAAAAATTACTTTTCTTTTTTTCAGGTTTTGTTGACGAATTAAAAATGACGAGCATTGCTTCTAATTTTTTTAACTATAGAACATTGCATAGTCGAAAATTTGAAACATTTAAATTTTTATTATTTAATACAATATTGTGTTGATATAATGTATATAATCTGTTATCCGATTTTAGGTTAATCTTTTACAGGTGTCAAATTGTCAGACACAGCGTAAAGTTACGAAGACAAGAGTATCTAGATATAACGCATTATATTTAGATATATCCGGAAATATCTAACTTGAAGCACATCTATGTGACCTATAATAGGTAATTGGACTTTCTACAGCTCAGGCCGTTACAAATGCTGCAATGAGATCTCTCTGAAACATTTTTTGACAGTTTGAAACATTTAGCAATAATGTGCGATGTTATTAATGTGTCGTAAATTCTGTTCTCTCTCTTTAACGCTTAATTACATATCTATGTCAAGTATAAAAAAATATACTGCGGGTGCAAAGAACAGACATTTGGCTAGCTCTAACGCTTCAGTTGGAAAGATCGGACGGCTGGAGCAATAATATTCAAAACACTAATCCATTTGCTTATTCTAACAAATGAAACAAGTCGAGAACTGCCTGTTCAAATGAGCGCAATTCATATTTTTGCCGCCGTAAACACATGCTGCCGCTCGCTCGTGCGCATGTGTCACCTTGGGGCAAGGTGATCACTGCGTGCCGAACTGGCAACTCGTATCATTCGCCTCTGGCGGTCCGCGACGTGTTGGTCGAGTGTGTGTCAATTCGTTGCGACTTGTTGTACCGCGAATAATCCGGCCGATTTAGCTTATCGAGTAAGTCATCATGTCACTAACGAACAGCGATCACGAGAAAAGGAAGCAGATCTCCGTGCGCGGCATCGTCGACGTCGAGAATGTCGCGAATTTCAAGAAGACCTTCAACAGGCATCTCCACTACACCCTGGTGAAAGATCGCAACGTCGCCACGAGCCGCGATTACTTCTTCGCCCTAGCCCATAGCGTCAAGGACAATCTCGTGTCGCGATGGATTCGCACTCAGCAGCACTATTACGAGAAAGATCCCAAGGTATTCTTCGTTTTTTTATATTTCGTTAAATCAGAGAGCATAAACTCTTCGGAACCGGTGAGATCGGATTTCGCTGCCACACGATGAATTTTATATATCTATTTATCATTCTCTGTTTACTCTTAATAGTTCGACGATTAGCATATTTTTTTTCTATATTTATGACTGCAAGCTTCATACAGAAATGTTTGATTGTTTCCAATCCTTTCCCAATAAAAAACGAGAAATGCTTGAAAGATGCGCGCATTTCGCAATTTTTATCAATCAAGCATATCGATTACGCGTAAATAACACACAAAAAAACATATCTAACCCAATCTTTTTGCAGCAAAATTTAATTAAAATTCATTTCTTTATTCTTTAGCAGATCAATTCTCTAATTCTTTAATTTTGCACAAATAGATTCGAGAAAAATATGCTAAAAAAGCTCACATAATTGATTCGCTATATTTTGCTCATCTCAGAAACGTTTCGCAATGTGCGAGTTGCGAACAGGAAGTCGTTGAATCGATTATAGTTCTTTGTGACAATGAACCATAACATAGATTGTTAAAAATTACGTTGGCTAATGCGATTATATGATCCATCAATAATAGCGTGATCTTCGTACACAGCATCTTTATCTCGAGAATTTTCATAAAGATTCAGATAAAGGCGTGTAGGATATCTCTTACGCATCTTTTATTTTTTTACTTTACAGGTCCAAAAAAAATATTTTTCAAAAAGCCTGTGTAGTTGATATGATTTGCTCATCTCTGAAACGCGTTTCGCAATATGCGAGCTGCGAGCAGAAAGTTGTTGAATTGATTATAGTTCTTTATAACAATAAACCATAACAAGGACGGCTAAAAATTATATTGGCTAACACGATTATCAGTAACGTTACGTATGATTTTCGTATTCATTTACATGAATATCGAGAATTTTTGTCAAAATTCAGATAATAATGCAGATAAACGTGCGTGATATCTCTTACACAACGAAGTTAATAATGACTTCTGACCAGATATTGCACATATTAAAGTAACGCGTTATGTATTATCGTAAATATTATTACATAAAAATAATATAAAATAATTGTACGAGAAAGAATTTATGCGAGATCAATTGATATCTATTTAACTGTATCTATTCAAGATACATATTTCAAAAAGAATGCAATGAATGCAATGTGCGAACGCAGCACATAACATGGTGAATTTATGATAAGAATTTTTTTTCACTAATAATTATATTGCTATTATAAAGGACATCACAAATTTGCAATTTTAATTTACATTTCAATGATAGATTGCTATTTTCTGATAAATTCGAAGTAGAGTTTTTTTTTTATCAAACATGCCGAGACACTTATAAGCGATTAACGAGAAAATTTTTTGCGAATTATAAATAAGCTTCAGAGGGACATATAAATAACAAAATCATACTCCAACGGTATTCTGGAGCTTAATTACGAAGATATGTAATATTAAAGTCCAGAAAAAAAGTTGCGATAAAAACCTGATTTACTGTACATGTTTATTAAAAGAAATTCAACTTTAAATTGCAGAATCAATTCTTAACTAGTTATGGAATAAATTTTCTAAATTCCTGCGCTTATAATTATTCGAAAAATCTAATTAAGTGTTACCTCTCTTGTCGCGTTGCAGACGCAGTTCACGGCGAATAGGAAAATATTACATTCTATTTCGGGATACATTTCTTACTATACAGAGCGCGATGTCGTTACATCATTTTGACTTTATGCGTGGATTTCAACTATTGCGTAAATATTATCGTATCGTTACGTATTGTTTTTGGAAAACAAACATTTCATATCACTTCGTGGAAAGAACGTTTTTTAATTATTTTTGAATTAATTAAATATAATTAAAATAAGAAATAAAATATAATTGTGTTCTATAATTACCTTATTCGAGGAAAAAAACATTAACTTCTGTTTGTGGAGTGAATAAATCATCCTTCACGCAAACACATTTCTATAAAGCAAGTTCATATTTCAAGAATTAATTATTTAACGATGAGTCATTGCTATATTTGCAGGAAAAATTTTCGGTCACGGTAATTTTAAGATCCATTATAGCAATTCTTCTAAATCATTATAATCATTTTTTTTAAAGTTATGTTCAATTTGTTGTGATAACTATACATACATTTCGAAATTTATAGTATTTTAAAAATAATAACAAAAATAAAAATAATATTACAATTTTCCGATCAAAAGAGTTCGTGCTCAATTTTTTTTTGAATGTGGATATTTTTACAAATATGGGAAATTTTGTTAATATTTTTCGTTGAATTTGTTATTTAAATACATTTCCAAAAATGTGAATTTTCTGAGATGATTTGTTTTGTTTTATGATAAAATTTTACGGAAGAAAACTTTGCTGCGATAGTATTAATGACGAGTCACTCTGCATGAAAATCCCCATGATTGAAATTGCTTCTGTCATTAAATCAATCGGTCCTCATGCAAAAACATATTCGCTATGTCTACGAGTTATAATAGGTGTCAGCTGATCGACCCTGAACGAATTCTGTTTCACTCTAAGCGAAGATCCGACAGTTTATTTTTATTTGCATTGTCATGCAGTATAACGATTTATGCTAATTGATGTCGTAACATTAACGATAATGTAGTGACATTAATTAATTCAGCATCTTGTTTGTATTTAAAAAAAATTTAAAGGATCTAAGTAATTTTTCTACTGCATTTCTTTTTGCACCGATCTCTTGCTTGACTTTAACGATGCTACGATTGATATTTGTACAATGTAATATTGTCGAAGTCAAATAAAAGATTCGTAATGTAAAATTTTTTTTCCAGAGAGTATATTATCTCTCCTTGGAATATTATATGGGCAGATCGCTGCAAAATACAATGATTAATCTAGGAATACAAGGAGCGTGTGACGAAGCTATGTATCAGGTAAGCTATGTATCAGGTAAGCTATGTACATAAATATGTGAATTTTGTTATTATTAGAATCAGAAAAACAAAATGTGTTATTGGTCTTTCATATTGAAAAATATTTGAGATAATTGACATTTTTCTTCGAATTATTGGATCATCTAAAAGGGTTATCAATTTTTTTTAAAGATACACAATGTATCTTCTATTTATCCATCTTTAAATAAAATAACAAATATATATTTTTTTGTAATTTACTTTAATCGACTGATAATATGTTATTGGTCTTTTATACTGAAAAATATTTGAGATAATTGAAATTTTTCTTCGAATTATTGGATCGTCTAAAAGAGTCATTAAATTAAAAAAAAATACAATGTATCTTCTGTTATCCATCTTTTTTGAATATTAAATAAAATAAAAATATATTTTTTTTTGTAATTTGCTTTAATCGACTGATAGAAATTTTCTTGATGATTTATCAAATGAAAGATTATTACATGATCATAATCATCACTTTCTCCACAGATGGGTCTGGATATAGAAGAACTGGAAGAGCTTGAAGAAGACGCTGGACTCGGTAACGGAGGATTAGGTCGTCTAGCTGCCTGCTTTTTAGATAGCATGGCTACGTTGGGTTTGGCCGCTTATGGTTACGGAATACGCTATGAATATGGTATATTTGCACAAAAAATAAAACATGGTGAGCAAGTAGAAGAGCCAGATGACTGGCTTAGATACGGCAATCCCTGGGAAAAAGCTCGACCAGAATTTATGTTACCTGTGAACTTTTACGGTCACGTGATTGACACTCCTGAAGGCAAAAAATGGGTGAATACGCAGGTATTTATTTCAGTATTCTATTTTAAATTGCTTTCTCAAAAATATTGCACTTTGAATGTCATGTTTACGAAGATCTTATAAATATTTTTCGTCTTTAACAAAAATACTATAACATTTTCTAGTTTTTTTCCTTTTTGTACACTTACATTTTTGAATAATTAAAATAATTTGAAAATAAAATACTCTTATAGATAAAAAATTTTATAAAGAAAAAATTATATTAAAATTTTAATTCAAAGTTTATTTACAAAAATATTACACATGTTGCGATAAATAATAGATTTCTTGATATTTTTGCTAAAAAAATTATTTCCAAATTTAAGAAATTTAGAAAAATTGCGGTAGAAAAAAATCTCTGATAATTTTGAGACACTATAAATAATTATAATGATAATCTGTTTTATATAATATTATTTTTAGGTCGTTTTTGCTATGCCTTACGATAGTCCAATTCCTGGTTACAAAAATAATGTTGTTAATACATTAAGGCTGTGGTCCGCAAAATCACCGATAGAATTTAATTTGAAGTTCTGTAAGTATCGAGTCTACAAGCTCGCGCGATACAGTAATAATTTTTTCACATATATTATTGTCTCGTATCTTTTCAGTCAACGACGGTGACTACATACAAGCTGTGATTGATCGTAATCTGGCAGAGAATATCTCCAGAGTGCTTTACCCCAACGACAACTTCTTCGAGGGCAAGGAGCTCAGATTGAAGCAGGAATATTTCATGGTAGCTGCTACTCTTCAGGACATCATTCGAAGATACAAGTCCAGCAAATTCGGCTCGCGGGAGCATCATAGAACCGACTTCGACGCCTTCCCCGATAAAGTGGCGATTCAACTCAATGACACGCATCCCTCCTTAGCTATTCCCGAGCTGATGAGAATTCTTATTGACGTTGAAGGACTCACTTGGGAGAAGGTATTTATAAACTGAGAAAAATTTTACTCTAAGAGAATTTTATTATTAAAAAAAAAAACGCAAACAGAAATTTAAAGTACACACGTATAACATTCGAAACATGTCGCACTGTTTACACTTTTAGGCTTGGGATATTACAACGCGCACGTGTGCCTACACAAATCACACGGTTCTTCCCGAAGCATTGGAGCGATGGCCTACTAGCATGTTGGAGAGCATTCTTCCGAGACATTTGCAGATCATTTATCATATAAACCACCTGCATCTTGAACAAGTCGCAGCCAAGTGGCCCGAAAACATGGATCGCCTTCGTGAAATGTCCTTGGTAGAAGAAGAAGGCGAAAAGAGAGTCAACATGGCTCATCTGTCGATCGTCGGCAGTCATGCTATAAACGGAGTTGCTCGTATTCATTCAGAAATTCTTAAAGATAGTGTGTACGTTCCGTATTGAGTAGTATTTTCAAAAGCTTGCAAAGCTAAAAAAAAAAATTGGTGACACGTCTAACTCGTCTTTTTTATTTTATTAGCTTCAGGAACTTTTACGAATTGACACCAGAGAAATTTCAAAACAAAACAAACGGCATTACGCCGAGAAGATGGCTGTTACTGTGCAATCCAAATTTGTCAGATATCATCGAAGAAGTAAGTATTCAAATGTGAAGTGACAAGAAATAAAATATATATTTTAATTGTTTTATTTTATTATTTGTAGAAAATCGGTAGCGAATGGTCAGTCCATTTGGACCAGTTGACGCAAGTGAAGCAATGGGCGAAGGATCCGGTGTTCCAACGTAACATCGTTAAAGTCAAGCAGGAAAATAAACTGCGATTGGCCCAATTATTGGAGAAAGAGTATGGCGTTCAGGTCAATCCGGCATCTATCTTTGACATCCAGGTGAGAACATAGGCTACGAACAATATCAGGTATTCCAGAAACGTGGACTACAAATATTCATTACAGATTCTTTAATCAATTTGCATTTTTCAGTGAAAATATGAAAACGCTCATTACTTTTGAGATTAAGAATAAAAAATATTTGATGGCAAAATTGTGTGTTTTATTAACAGGTGAAGCGCATACACGAATACAAACGACAATTGTTGAACTGCTTGCACGTCATCACTCTGTACAATCGAATAAAGAAGAATCCGTCTGCTACTTTCGTTCCGAGAACCGTGATGATAGGTGGCAAAGCCGCGCCAGGTTATCATCTGGCGAAGAAAATCATCAAGCTTATCTGCAGCGTCGCTAACGTCGTCAACAACGATCCGATAGTCGGCGATAAACTCAAGCTGATCTTCCTTGAAAATTACCGGGTGACCTTGGCAGAAAAGATTATACCCGCCGCGGATCTGAGCGAGCAGATTTCGACTGCTGGCACCGAAGCGTCTGGCACTGGCAACATGAAGTTTATGGTCAGTAGTTTTTGGCAGTAGAATGAAGTAAAGACTGCGCGTTTGTTTATAACTATTCTGAGAGCTGATCTCCACGGTAAATTTATTTAGTAAATATAAAATTATGAATGATTTAAAAAAAATCTTATTTAACGTATTCAATTGTGATCATAATTATTTTCACTGCAAAAATTTGAATTATTGGGATAGTAAAGTCTTATATTGCATTTATAGTTGAACGGTGCATTGACGATCGGCACTTTGGATGGAGCCAATGTCGAAATGGCGGAGGAAATGGGCAACGAGAATATCTTTATTTTTGGTATGACGGTAGACGAAGTAGAGGCTTTGCAGAGAAAAGGCTACAACGCTTATGATTACTACAACAAGCTGCCGGAAGCGAAGCAGTGTATTGATCAAATCCAAGGAGGATTCTTCAGTCCGAATAATCCCGATGAATTTCGAGATATCGCTGATGTGTTGCTCAAGTGGGACAGGTTCCTCTCTCTGGCTGATTACGAGAGTTATATAAAAATGCAAGATCGTGTCAGCGAAGTTTATCAGGTACTTATCAACTTTTAAGATGTAATTTTTTATTGCGTAATTTTTAAATTACAATAAAAAGACTGAAAACATTTCAGTTTAACAATTTTATTGTTTTTTTACGGATTATTTTAAAAAGTAATATATTTATAATTGATAAAGTGTATTTTAAAAATAGCTAAAATAGGGATTATTACGAATTATAAATTTATTAAGTTTTTTTTCCAAACTTAAAAAGCTAAGGTAGAAATTTTTTTGCAAAACTATTGAAATCTTTATATCCAACTCTTTC